GCTTAACCGACTGCGCCACCCAGGCGCCCCCCCTTTTCACTATTTTTAAGGGTACAGTTCAGTGACATTAAGTACATTTACTTTGTTGTGCAACTATGACCACTATTCTTCTCTAGCACTTTTTCACCTTTCCAAACTGAACCTCTGTGCCCACTAAATAATAACTTTCCATTCTCCAGTCCCTGACAATTTATTTCTATGAATTTGATGACTGTAGGTACCTCATATAAATGGAATCATACAGTATTTCTCCTTTTATGCCTGGCTTACTTCACTTAGCATAATATCTTCAAGTTTATCCATGTTTTAGCATGTGTTAGAATTTCCTTCCTTTTAAGGCTGAATAATATACCATTGTACACACATACTACACTTTATTCATCTGTTGATGGACATTGATTGGATTTGTTTCCATTTTGGGGCTATTATGAATAATACTTCTTTTAAAAAAATTTTAAATTTATTTTTGAGAGAGAAAGAGCAAAAGCAGGAGAGGGGAGGAGAGAGGGGGACAGAGGATCCAAAACAAGCTTTGCACTGACAGCAGAGAGCTCAGGGCGGGGCTTGAAGTCATGAACCATGAGATCATGAGATCATGACCTGAGCTGAAGTCGATGCTTAGCCAACTGAGCCCCCCAGGAACCCCATGAAATATTTAACTTCTAAAAGGCATTATGGCCATATAGAAACAACAATAATGTCTTTCAAACTGAATCTTCCAAGAAATAAATAATACAGATATAAATTGTCCTAGAGCTTAAGGAAAAATAGAAAATATTCCAGTTCATCTCAAATATTTAGCACAAAGCTGATTAGGAAGTTGTATCAAAATGCGCCATGGTTATGTAAGATATTATCATTGGGGAAGGGTAGGTACATGGGAATTCTAGTTTTTTTGCAACCTCTTGTGAATCTAAAAATTATTTAAAAATAAAAAGTATTGGAGCACCTGGGTGGCTCAGTCAGTTGAGTGTCTGACTGTGGCTCAGGTCATTATGTCATAATTTATGAGTTCGAGCCCCACATCAGGCTCCCTGTTGTCAGCATGGAGCCCACTTTGGATCCTCTGTTCCCCTCTCTCTGCCCCTTCCCCGCTCATGCTCTCTCTCAAAAATAAATTAAAAACATTAAGATATATTTCAGGGGCGCCTGGGTGGCTCAGTCGGTTAAGTGTCCGACTTTAGCTCAGGTCACGATCTCGCGGTCCGTGAGTTCCAGCCTCGCTTCGGGCTCTGGGCTGATGGCTCAGAGCCTGGAGCCTGCTTCCGATTCTGTGTCTCCCTCTCTCTCTGCCCCTCCCCCGTTCACGCTCTGTCTCTCTCTGTCCCAAAAATAAATAAACGTTAAAAAAAATTAAAAAAAAGAAATATTTCAAAATCTATCAAAATCCTTAATTCAAGATGATGAATTCAATATAAAATTTATTTTCTTCATATTTCTTCTATCTCACAAATCTGGGATGTAATATTTCCATTATGATTTAGTTCAAAGTATTTAATTTCCATCATGGTTCATTCTTTGACCCAAAGTTATTTGGAAGCCTTTTTGTTTGTTTTCTTAAGTTTCCAGATATATGTTTGTATTTACATTTTACATTGTGATTAGAGAATATGGTATGTATTCTAAAATTCTTTGAAATTTGAATTATATTAGTTGAGACCAATTTTTATGAATAGTCTAAGTACGCTTAGGAAGAATGAGTATTTTTAAAAATTGTTTATTGGGGCGCCTGGGTGGTGCAGTTGGTTGGGTGTCCGACTTTGGCTCAGGTCATGATCTCACAGTTTGTGAGTTCGAGCCCCGTGTTAGGCTCTGTGCTGACAGCTCAGAGCCTGGAGCCTATTTCAGATTCTGTGTCTCCCCCTCTCTACCCCTCCATTGCTCACGCTCTGTGTCTATCTCTCAATAATAAATAAATGTTAA